TGCTCTCTCTGCGATCGCAAGTCGTATCAGATGACCAAGCACCACCTCGTTCCCAAATCGGAAATTGAAAATGCAATAATCAAGCGTGGGCGGAAGAAGAATGAAACGATCCCCGTCTGCAGGCCCTGTCATGAGATGGTGCACTCAAAGCTCACGAATTTGCAGATGGCGCGGGGGATCAACACGCAGCGTGCCCTTCGGAGGTCACGAAGCCTGGAAGCCTGGTTCGAGCAGAGACGGAAGCAGGGTCTTTCGTCAGATATGGAGGTCGACGTTGAGAGTAAAGACGAACCGAAGCGACCATCAAAGCAGGATGCTAAGAAGGATGCTAAGAAGGATGCTGTTCGTAGGATACTGTTGACGATCAGGGCGGCACAGTTGGATCCTTTGAGCGGCTGGCGCGGATCGCATGCACTCCAGGCCACCTGCTCGCTCGTTCGCGCGATTATGTTGTATGAACGCGCATCGGTGCGGCTAACGAAATCGGGAACAAGCGAGATGCCTCCACCACCCCATTGGGTGGACGAAGGCTATATCAAGAAGCAGATTCAAACAGAGTCAGAGCTAAAATTGTGGTTTGAACAAATCGTTTCCACCGAGAAAAAGAACCAAAAGTCGGACGTGAATCCTCGGCCGGTTAAGGATCCTAAGCAGATTAAGGTTTCTAAGCTGGCCAAGGATCTCAAGGAGGTTGAGGATCTTGAGAAGATAGAAGATCCTAAGGACGTCGAGGACTCTAAGGAGGTTGAGAATTCTAAGAAGATAGAAGATTCTCAGGAGGCCGAGGACTCTAAGGACGTCGGGTATCAAATCCCGGTTCAGGAGACTGACACTACACATCTTCCTTCGCAACCGAAGTATCCTTAACCGGGATAGCAGCGTTGCAGCCACCACGGTCCTATTCTACGCAAGTAGACCTCATCTCCAGGCTTCAGGGCAGCCTCGTGGATATTGGCCAATCTACCTTCCAGGAGCCGCCATTCAGCAAACAGCAAGAACCGGGGGCATTGGGCGAGACCAAACCTTCGATCAAATGCGACGAGGCACTCGATTTGCGGAAGCCTAATTCCAGGGTTGTGTAGATCGGGAGGTAGGAAGCAACGGCAATTTAGAAAACAAATCGGCCCGTGTATAAACGCATCAGATACACTTGGGTATTCTACGTCCGCTACAGAATATGACGACCCCCGTGCCGTGACCAAACCCCCCCCCCCCCCCGCCCCCCAAGACCGAACCTATCTCGTCTAATCTACGAAATGCCCAACAAGAACCTCAAAACCCACTCCGCGGCAACGCCCGCGTCGTCCTGCCTCCTCGTGCCCTCGAACGCCTTCTCCAGAAACTCTGGCGAGAAGCCCTTCTCCGGCGTGTAGAAATGCTTGATCGTCTCCTCCATCATGACCTGGTCGCCCTCGAAGTGCGGCTGGATGGTGAGCACGCGCGAGGGCTCGTACAGGCCCTGGACGGCGCACTGCGCGCTGCCGCCGATGTTGAGCCACGAGCCCGGCAGCGTCGCGGGGAGGGCGACGTGGTCGCCGTGGCACATCTGCAGCCTGAGCCCGCGGACGTCCTTTTGCTGCCCGTCGTCGACCTGTGCGAGGCCGCGCAGGCAGGGGTACTCGGCGACGAGGCGCGGGTGGAGGGCGATGGTCTGGACGCCGAACTCGTAGCCGGCGGGGTCCTTCTCGACGACGGCGCCGTGCGGGCCGAGGAGGACCTGGCCGATGAGCTGGTGGCCGAAGCAGGTGCCGAAGATGCGGACGTGGCGGTGGTTGGCGTAGACGTCGGCGATGAAGGCGGCGAGGCGGAGGACCCAGGGGTGGGTGTCGTAGGCGGCGGCGATGGAGCCGGTGATGAGGATGGCGGAGACGGCGGCCGGGTCTGGGTAGGCGTCCTCGAGGACGTTGTGGGTCGTGAAGGTCGGGACAGGGAGGGAGGCAGCGGTCGCGGCGGCGGTGAGGTGGTGGATGTAGGCGGCGCTGTAGTATTTGCCGTGGGAGTGTTGGATGGAGGGGACTGTTGTGTCTGTGTCTAGGATTGCGATTACCGAGGGTGTGGGTGTTGGTTCGGGCATTGTGAGGGCGTGATGGGTTTGGGTTTTAGTGGTTGATGAGGAGGCGTGAGATTGGGTGTAAGTTGCGGCTCACATAGAGGGCTTCTGATTGAGACGAGAATGAAGAGTCGTGATATTGGAGAAAGACGCTTGAGAGAGCCGTCTTGCTTGCTGTGTTCACTGAATGATGTTCTTTCGTCCAATGAGCATCAGCCAAAATGAAAGACAGTGTAACACCCACATAGAATTTGAGAGTTTGTCGAGTGCGGTTGGAGGGAGTCCATCTCGGGTGTCATGCCGAGTCAGATTTCGGAGGGAATTTGTCACGATCTCCGGGCTTCGGCATGCAACGCCGGCATCGGCACTGGCGCCGAGGGTGGATCCACCGGCATGGACCGGGCCTTGAACAGCGGGCTTGTGGTGCGGAACCTGTGATCTGCGGTGAATTCTTAGGGAGACTCAGTTTTAAACAATAATTTCATGTATTCAGTTGAACTTGATGGTTTTGTCGAACATTCAGCCTATCCTCTAGAGGTAAAGTTCACTGCTAACGACATGATTGATACAAAACCATTCTATCCCCTAAACACTCAAGCCTGACTTCTCTAATATGGTATCCAGCAGTTGATGATTCCGCAGCCCCGACTCAAAGTCAGCGTACAGTTCGTTCTTCCCCTTGGCAAACGCATCCAGGACCAAAGCCGTGTTCACAGCCCGCTGCCCAACATCGGCCGCAGCCCCAAGATCCGCAGCGAGGCCCACGTCTCGCGTCTCTCCGCCAAAGACCTTGACCCTGATCTTCCGGTTCGAGAAATATCCCTGCCAGCTGCTCGAGGGCGAGGTGATTTCGACCTCGCCCTTGGAGCCGGAGATGATCCAGCGGATGCCGACGTCGTCGATGGAGGCCTGCGTCGTGCGGAAGTGGACAGTGGCCAGGGCGCCGCTCTGCAGGCTGCCCTGGACGAGGATGTGATCCGGGGCGGTCTTGGGGTGCGAGGGAATGGCGATTGCGGTTCGGTCTGCGGTATAGATTGGCACGTAGTCGTTGTCTGTTTTGAGGATTGAGCTGATGCTGGAGGTGTTGAAAGGGCCGAGAATGTGGGTGAAGGAGTCTATGACTACAAAAAGGTGTTAGGGAACCTGTGCCTTTATATGAGATTGGTAGGAGATCGCTCACAGTGTCCAAAGACTATGTGGAAAGCGCCCGCTCCGCCTTTGATGTCGAGAAACTGCTCCGTCCCCTCGATCCAAAACTGCGGAGGCAGAGCGGGAAGAGTGCCGATGACGGTGGTATTCTTGACCTCTCCAATGTCTCCGCTGTTGATGATCTCCCTCAACTTGATCATGGAAGGATCAGCGCGAGCCTGCAGGCCAACAATAGTTCTCAGTCCATTGGTCTCGGCCAGCTCCACCATCTGCTCTGCTTCCGCAGCGGAATGACCCAAAGGCCACTCGACAAAGACCTGCTTCTTCTTCTGCAAAGCGGGGAGGGCAAGTTTGAGGTGGTGGGTTACGACGACGCTGACGATGACGAGGTCGACATCGGGGTCGTTGGCCAGGTCCTGGGGGTCACCGTAGGCTTTGGTGGTTTCTGGGAGGTTGTGGAACTGGATGGAGCGACGGGCGGCTTCGGTTGTGGTGTTGCAGAGGGCCACTATGGTGTACTCGGGAGATTTTTGAAGGGAAGGGAGGAAAGATGCTGAGGCCCAGGTGCCGGGGGCATATGAGGGGGCTTTGGCTGAAAGGCCGATTATGCCGACGCGGATTGGAGACATGGTTGATGATATAAGTGATGACTGCCTTTAAGCAATGTCGAGAATGACCTCAAAACTGCGCGAAAATTCTGAGAGCGAGACTTTGGTAGCCCTTTTAATATCATTTGACGGGAGGGTGTCAAGATACCATCAAAGAGTGTAAGTGCCTCGAAGTGCCGAATATCCGCGTCAACTCCGCAAAGCTGGATCCTAGCCAACCCGATGGAACTTCTGCACAACAGATAATCAAGATACCTACTTACAGCACACTCGCTGACAGTCTGTAGAAGATAATGCTTCCATGGCATGACGCTTGTGGCGTCTCTCTTGCGAGCTCCGGAGTTGGGCGAGATGACGGCCTCTGATTGGCTGCAACTCCGCTGAAAGCAGCTAACAGCTACATCTGTCTCTCAGCGCCCTTTTGAAACGCAGATCGGAATGCGTGAGATGTGACAAGATCATCAATTATTGGTTTGGACCTCGGAAAATCCAGGCCATCTCTGTCAAGGTTTGGAAGAAGTGCATGCCTCCCCTCCGGAGTTCAGTGGGTCCTTCCTTGCCGGCGCCGGCGCCGTGAATATGATGGCCGCTGATTGGTCGGAACTCCGCGGCGTGCTGACACCACTGCTCCATTGTTAGCCCCTTTCTTTGACTTGCACCTCCTAGGCAGCAGTATTGTCGATGCCAAAACGCGATGCCAATTCCTCGGCACGATTGGTCTCACCAAGGTAGTTTGCAACTCGGCAAGAATGTCTAGTCGCAAGAAGTCCTGCGTTCCTTGTCGGACTAGCAAGGCGAGATGCTCGCTGGATGCACCTTGTCGACGATGTGACGAACGAGGGTTGGCCTGCAAGTACGACAAACTGCCGAGACGAACGACAGCTAGATCTCTACGGCCAGCTACGACGCCTCTTGTAAGTGACGGCCCCGGCGATGTGGACCAATCAACTTTGTTTGCCCAGTCTGTAGCGCCTAGAACAGGCGGTGGGCCAAGTAGAGGGACACCCGGGTCATGGACTGGAGCAGCAATAGACGAGGTCAACTCGGCTTCCTCGGCCCTTGAGAGTCTGGGACCTGACCAAAGTGTATACTCTTGGATGGACTGGGGGAGTTTGCAGCCACCATCAAATTTGCCAACATCCTGGGGCTGTGAGCTCAATTTCCTGAACCAAGCCATTGAGAGTACATCCAATATGCCTTTCAGGATCCATACAGCTCTGACAAACCCGGCAATGTCATACAGCACGAATGCGCTCTCATTCTCGGAAGACCAGCATTCGAGTGAGATGGGACCCCAGAGGGCTCTGGTCCCCATTCAAGGCCCTACGTCGCCCAGAAGCAGACGGCTTGTCCCGACCCAAACGCCACCTACAACTCTACCACGATACTATGACGAGGCACCGCTGAGACCCAGAATTAGAAAGCCTGCATCAACAGCCTTCACCGCAAAAGTCCTCCTCGGCCAACTTCTCTCATATCCCGCGATGATGGCTAGAGGCGGCCGCCTGCCGCCGTTCATCTTCCCTCAGTGTGCACTTGATGGAGTCGTATCGCCAGCTGAGTGCAATGCTCAGGGATATCATCAGTGTTTGCCCGAAGTTCTGGCCGTCTGCTGTAGTCTGGTACAGGCCTACGAGGCGAGGACCCCTGGAAGCGCGGCCTTCGTGTGGAAGAGCATTTACAAGGAGGTTGGCAGGATTAGGGAAGAGGTAAGACCGAAGCTCATGATTTTAGAAGCACGCCTGACTGAGAACTTTTGGGTGATAGTACGATTCCTTCAGTCGCGAAGAGCTCGTATCAGCTGGGCAAGCTATGACAATATACGTACTGTTGCAAGTGAAGGACCAAGACTCCATCCCCCACAACGATATTGACCTCCTAGTATCAACCCCTGTTGTGAGAAGCTCGCGTTTCCTGGAGTTAGAATATGCATGCTGATGTATAAGAACAGCTATTGGCAAGGAAGCTTTATTTTCAGATGGATTATACCTCCAATTTCATCAACGGCGCCAGCCTTGACCGGCGAGAATGGGCGCTGAGGGAGAGTGTTCGCAGGTTCGTCTTCGATATATCATCGTAGATGCATATTGCTAACTGTAGGTTGTCACAGAAACGTCTGTCTGAACTTTGGGTTCGAGCTGCTCGTCGACGCAGACTTCAGCGGAGGGAAAGCAGCTACCTGTGGTTATGACAAGGTGGCAGTCCCGACAGGAAGGTATCTTTGGGAGCCTGTGTCAAATGTCGAGTGGTCTGCGCGCTACAAGAAGATGGAAGCAGAGATTCGGAAGAAGCCCTTGAGTATCCAAGATTTGCGACGGGTGAGACGTGCTACGGGGAACGGAACTGGAACCGAGGTGGAGGAAGGGGAGATGACATCTCGTGTGTCCGACTGGTGTGATGGGTTAGATGAGTTTGGGATGTTGGTGTGGATGGCGGTGATGATGGAGTGAATGGGATGCAGCGCTGCCTTTGGGTCTCTACGCTGGGAGAAGACGTTGGGTGCGTTGATAGACTGATGTGTATCGTGAATGTCGAAAGTCTTCAAAACGACTTTACGATCAAGTCTCAACACACAAGCCGGTAGTCGGTTACTATTTCAATATAATTGAGTGACCGTTGGCAGAAGATTATGCTGGTATTTATTATCCTGATTGCCATGTTGATGATCTCGAATCGGCATGCAAATATCACCAGCCGTTCACCGTAGTGAGGGCTGTGCATGTTAGCTGCATGGTTACGTTACGGCGCCTGGGTGGCTTGCAGGTGATAACCATAGTACAGCTTCTTGAGTGGTCAGCATGCTGAGGGAACTTTCCTCACTTCAGTCACTCTTCCCCTCACAAACGTCCCAATCCCATCGTCAAGTTCAACTTTTAGCCTGACCTCTTCATTCGACCATCTCTAACATCATACACTGTTCGACCATGAGGGCGCAGACACCACGTGGCTTTCCCATGTCTATGGGCGTCGCAAACGCAGAAAACGTAGGGGAAATTTCCAATTATGAAAATACAGAAGGTCCAATACGAAAACCTAATACTTCTTCGGCATCTTCAACTTTGAGGGCCAGACCCTCTCGTGGCGCTCTGAGATACTGGCCCCTAAGACAGGACAAGCGGGAGATTAGACATCTACTTGTCGATACCATGGAATTTGCTGTTAACACAGTTCATGTGTCTATGGAAATCGTATCATTGGATGACCAACCCGAATACAATGCGTTGTCTTATGTTCGGGGTCCTTCGTCACCGCCCCGGGGAGAGCGCAGAAAGCTTTACGTCGATGGCCACATGCTCGACGTAACTCAAACACTGTTCCAAGCTCTTCGATCCATCCGAAGCTACCCAAAGACACATTCACGACGCATTTGGGTCGATGCTGTCTGTATCAACCAACAAGATCACCAGGAAAAGTCTTGGCAAATGTTGTTGATGGCCAGCATCTACAGGCTCGCCTCCACGACATATATATTCACGAACGATAATCTTCAAGGTATCCGAGCTGCATCGCAACTTGATGCCCGAAAGTTCCGAGCAGACATGAACCACTTCCAGAGAACTGCTGGCGACCAGAATGCAGACAGACCTCAGCCCGAATTGAAACAAGACAACATTCATGTCGTTGTTTGGCGTGACAGCTCTCAAACATCGAAACGCTGGAGGGCTATTAAGTTGCTTCTCAGTCACCCTTGGTGGGGACGGAGATGGGTGATACAAGAAGCCTTCTTCTCCAGAAATCCGGTTCTCATTTGCGGTCCAGCCTCAGACTTATTACCGTTGGACAAGATCGCCCAAATAGCTGTCTGGCACCAGAGATTTGCCTCGTCAGCCCATACAGTGCCTGAGTTCATTCGAATGCTTTTCGACTCGTGCCCTTTCTATCCGCTCCTCAGGGAGTGGAAATCATATCGAACAGACTCTGACGTCTATAGGGCTCCTCTTCCAAGATGGATGACACTAGCAAAGGGCTTCACACAGAGTCTATCCAGAGACATAGTCTTTGGTCTGTTATCCTTGGCATCACCTGAAGACCAGTTGAGGGTCAAGCCTGACTTGACTACTATCATTCAGACGAAACTGTGTTCACGTCCATTTTTGCGTATCTAACGAAGACTTACGGCATAAACCCGGTCCGATTTTGATAATTATAGTTTAACAAGCCTCTTTCTTCATGGTGTGGTATTTGGGGACCGAGGTATCAAGCGCAGGCAGGTTCGATATTGCATTTCGCAGCCCGTCGGGGCAGGAAATCGTTCAAAGTCGGAGCTAGAACGAAACGAGTTGCTCGGTTTTTGGAGGACCATGCGGCAGCTGGGCGTGGAGAAAGAAACGAGAGGGTCGAGGGTGCAGGGCCCATAGATAACTCGGTCCTGGGGCATCGAGGTATCTACTTTGACGAAGTCGCTGTAGCGATACCGAGCGGTATCACCGCAAAGACCATTCGCACCTCGAGCATGGCCTCTATTGAAGAGAGCTTTCAACTTGCCATTCGGTGTTGGCAAAAACGTTGGTCTGGCCTCAAGAATGACCCATACGGCAGTGGCAACGACTTTCCTTGGGATCTCTGTAGAACGTTATTAGGGGACTGGACGGAGGTGCTGACGGACGAGGAGTGGTTGGCCCACTATCAACTATGGTTGAAGGGAGTTAGCTGCTGGCAGGCGCCAAAGTGCAAAAGAGGCTTACTTTGGAGCCCGTAGATGCCCTGAGACTGGGTTGAATGATATGGTGGGAAGGGAAGACTGCTTTTATAGGAGCTCGAGGATCTGCTGCTACAACCGGTCTCTCACGATCACAGTATGAGGCTTGCGCCACTCGACACCAGGGTAGGGGATACAATTTCGGTGTTCTACGGGTCTTTGATACCCCTGGTTCTGAGACGAAATGGCGATGGTGAGATGTATAGTTTGGTCGGCGAGACCTACGTTCACGGCATCATGTATGGGGAGGCGGTTGAAACCAAGGACGAGAGTTGCCCCGAGCGAGAATTTCTATTGACCTGATTGTATTCACGCCGGTGTCGCGTTATATATCGAATTAATCAAGAGTAATACAGCACGTTGCCTTCAAATAGCCTCCGTGCCGTTCTCGTCACAACGCATCTATCAACAGTGATGCCCTCGGCATCCTGGCGTGTGTGAGCCTCTACGTCCATTATACCACTGCCGTGCTCGATGCGCAAAGTTCGACCTGTGCCGTGACTCTGAGATAAAATGTCGTCCGTAAGCCCTTTTGTAACAACTCCGGCAATCATGTCTGATGGACTCGGTGTCCTCCTGGGCGTGGGAATTCCTTCTGTAAGTACCGTGGCCTGGTGGTCTGCGAGGCGATGCGCCACGGTTCCTTCCATGATCATGGCGCTTGCCAAAGTAACTCCTCCTGTAAGCTGTAGACTCGGATGTGGTTTTCCCATGCTGTATGCCTGAACTCGTATATCTGCCGTCTGCTTGAATAAGCCGCCCGAGGTAGGTGGTGACAGATAGGCGAGCTTCGGCGTCCCCCTGACCTGACTGGCTCGCTCGAGATTATCAGCAAGACCCATGAGAACGGCGCCTTGCCATCTAATTGCCTCCGCAACCTCCAAAGACAGGGGTGAGTCTGGCGGCTCGATGGTGAGTTGGGCCGGGAGAGTCTGAGAGTCGACCAACACGAAAGGGTTCGCGGAGTCTATCAACGTTGCTTCAACTACAAACAGTCCGAGAGCAGGAACCTCCTCGACAAGGATACTCTCAGCACGACGCCCACTGGGGAAGAGCTTCCCGGTCATGCTTCCCACCGGCTCGATAAAAGCAACCTTGATCTCGCTTCCAGGACCCTTGACTCCTGGAATGAGACAGTCGCCATCCTCTTCTACGTTGCCATCCTCATCAACGTAGACCGTTTCCACAATGACCTTCGAGGTGTTGGTGTTGAATATTCTCACATCGACGGACCTAGCGCCCGGCAGCGGTGTGACCAATCTCTCTTGAACTGCAAACGGCCCGACTCCGGAGCAGATGTTTCCGCAATTGCCGCTGAGGTCGACAGTCTCGCTGCCCACGGCAACTTGTACGAAGGTGTACTCGACGTCGACGCCTGGTCTGTCCGATGGGGCGACGACTGCAACTTTGGAGGTGACGCTGGTCCCGCCGCCTACACCGTCGATCTGGCGAGCGTCGTTGTTCTTGGAACCCATGGCTGCAAGCAGGGGCGTGGCCCAGTCATCTAATGAGGGCGGCAGATGTGAGCGGTGGATGAAGAGCCCCTTTGACGTCCCGGCTCGCATCAGGACCGCCGGGAGCGAGTGCCTGACTCGGCGTTTCGACATTGCTGGCGTTACTGCCATGATTGCGATGGGGAATGGTGTCGGATTATGATGCGACAGCTGGTGAATGTATCTTCGTATTGCGGTATGTTTTTGTAAGACTTTTGATCGTGAAAGCATTTGGAAACAGTCTTCAGAGATCTGAGACCCAGGTTGAGGATCTTAGGGGCGTTGAAGTGAAAGCACTAGGGGTCTCTAAGGCGCAACAAGACGGAAAGAGTTCATAAATGCTTTTCATTACCATCACTCGATGATAAGTGACGACATTTTTATGAATATGCTGTTAAAGACTGTGAATATCGTCAGGTGTGCATGGGCGGCAAACCCGCGGGAGTCATGCTCACCCGCGGGACTGATCTTGCACTTCCGGCCGGGCTCCCGGAACCACAACGGACAGGGGTCCGACACCGCATCGGACGGGTAGTAGTAGCACGACTGAATACTTGATGTGATGATGTGACGTATTGTTCATCAGAAAAAGCTATCAAGAGCGGATCCATTGAATCCAAAGAGCAAGTCATCGAATGAGGCAGCGCCGGCATCAGCCTCTGGCAGCCCCTGAATCCATGACGGGTTGCCGATGCCACTCCCCGAGTCCCCGCCGGAATGCTGAGTACTCATAGCTTGAGGCATTATCTGGAGTTGCGCCTCTGTTTGTCCCATTTCCGTCGGCACTGAGTTGATATCTTGTCCGCGGACGAAGCTCTGTATGATACCATCAATGTCAGACCAGCCCATTGACGGGGATCCGTCCTCCAACGATGGTGGATGTGGTCTTTGATGCACCACGCGGCCACGTTCCCCAAGGCCACTCGTTTGTCTTCTTCCGGGACGATTCCGCGCACTCTCCGGGCTGGTGTCCGCCATATCGGAGACCTGGCTATTGCTAACTTGGATATTGCCATTATCGTGAGAAAGGCCAACGCCCAATCTTGTCATTAGACCTTCAACTATTGCTTTAGCCCTTCTGACAGCCCAATTTGTTTCTTGGTTCTCTCTGAAGGCGGCCATACACGTCTCCAAGCACTCGCGAGCTCCCGACTCAATGCTACGCTTTGCCGCAATGCGAACATGAATGGTTGCTGCCACGTACGTAGCATATAATATCAGATAAGGTGCATGCCGTACCGAGAATACCTTGTCGTACACTCGGAGCACGCCTACTATGCTATCGGCGGCCGAGGCACATGTAATAAACGAGTTTATTGATAGGAAGCGAGACGTATTGTAAAGATGACCGTCAGCAACAAAAGGACGGTGCAAGAGGATCGTGAGGACATGGTACATTGCACTTGCGGATTATTAGACTGCAAATCATTTGATTCGGGTGTCGGTGAAACGAACTGACTTACTGTAGGCTGAGCACATGCGGGGGAGGAACTCTGGTGCTGCTTTTGGGGTCGAATATTAGGTGGGCTGGCAGGGCATCTTTCCACGCTGCGAGCTTTGAGCTGAGATTCTCAAGCATGGTAGATAGCTCTTGGGGGCTTTTGTCAAAAGCTCGCTCTGTGTAGATGCAACTCAAAATGTCGCTCATGACAACTGACAGCCTACACAGATGGGTGAAGGTCGATACACTGTAGGCAGGCGAACCAGGATAGCTGTTGTTCTGAGCTGAGTAGGCGAACGGCGCCCAATTCTCGAACTCTTCGAAGGTGTCGAGAAACTTGATGGGAACTAGAGTGTCAGACTCTTTCAACGAAGCAGGGCGACCTTGATAGAGGCTTTGGATCTTGTCGACAACTGGAGAACGAATTAATTGCCAAACAATGCATACCAAGAATAACAGTATCATACCAAAAGCTCCCCAGAAGACCCTACGCCGTATTTCGAGATCCTCATCAGAGAATTTCCGTGTGATACCAAGACCCGGCGCATCTACATGCATACCCAAGTCGATGATCATGCGAAACGCCAGCCCTGCGTATAACCAAGCAGCGCTTCTCTCATCACCGAGCGCAAACAGCGAGTTTGTCATAACCAGCAACGCTTGAATTGTGGTTATGTCACTACTGTCCAGCGCATCGCCGAGTAATTTGCGGACGCGCTCGCGGAATGCCCAGCCGGCCGTCCGCACATCGTTGGGGTCCCTTCGGACCTCTCGACGAGGGCTGAACTTGGACGCACCAAAGTAGATGGCATTCAGCAGTATCTTCGAGAAGTAAGGCCCGCCACACGCCATGTCTCTCATGAAAGCCGGACGGTACGTCAGCAGGAACGAGTGATGCTGGCGGTTCCAATGCAGAGAGAGTAGATGCATCCCCAACTCGGGATCTACACCGTCAAAGTCTAGCGTACCAGCGCGGTAGTTGAAGTCCTCGAGTTGACCTAACGTCAAGTCAACACCCAATGATCACCCTCAAGAGTATCATCAACCCACGTTGTTTGGCTGCCTCGGCGACTAGTCCTTTTTCTATCCATTCGTCCGGCATCCGCGGGCGCAAGTCCGCGACAGACGTCCTCTCCTGCAGGCTTTCCTCAAAAAGGGCACTGGTACGGCCATGGTAACTCGAAACACCGTTGGCAGAGACCACAATACGTGACACACCTGCTCGATGGGAGGGAGTCTGGTCTACCCGTGTTTCCTCCCGCTGGGTTTGCTGACCTCGACCCGGCAGGCTTGCTGGAGCTTCCACATTGCCAGGTACATGTGATGGCGTATCTTGACGGGTCTCGCCGCCGCTGTCATCTTGGCGTTCTGGCCCCGATGGAGGATGGGACCATTGCCGGGAATCCCTCGGTGTAGTCCGCCGCCGGCGCTCGGTCTGACGACGAGCCGAAGTCGAGGCAGGAGGCGGATTGTTAGGAGGGGCAGACAAGGGTTCGTAGACACAATCCTTGCCGTAAGTATTACAATTGGCACATGTGGGCTGCTCGTTATTGCACTTGATCTGAACGGAACACGTTAGCCGTGGGAACGACAATCATAGCGGAGAAGTACTGGGTGAGACTCCGCGGGTGACGAACTTTGCGACGTCGACAGAATGTGCAGGCCTCTACAGCCCGCCTACGAGGACGGCCCGAGACTGTGATATTGTCCCCGAGCGGTGCCATTAAAAAACGATTGGAATCGGAGAAAGGAATGAGATAAAAATGACAGCTCCCGTGGGTGAAAGATAGATTGGCGGATAGTAATTGACCTCGGCATTGTGAGGGAAACGGAAAGATTGCCTCCCGCACGGGTAGTCACAGACGGGAACGTCGTTCCCGTCGACCCCACAGAAGCGGCAAGGTTCGTGATTGGTCAGACTACCCACTCGAGCCCCTAACCCTGCACGTTCAACCGCGGGAATCCAGGATGAAGACAGACCGTGTATGCCTAAGTAACCGCAAGCCAAGTTTCCAAACATTGGAAGTGATGTGAATCGTAGGTTCCATTGGGAATGCCATCTTTTCAAAGTTCACAAACCAGCCCCTTCAACTCATTGTCGTCGGCTAGGCGTGATTCCCCTATATCTTTTTACAGAGGTAGTACGCAGAATACGTTGCCCGTTTCTTGTAACTGAGAAATTCAAGATACGAAGCCAGAAGGTATATGACCAATCATGACGGCACTCACAACGCCTCAATCGCCAGGTATGGGAATGTCAATATCGAACAATACCTCTCTTAGGCAACCGGCCCTCAATGCTCCCAACGCTGGTAAGAAGCACAAGATTTCACCAGGTGTTTCTCTTATTTCTGGCGGTATTGCTGGAGGTGTTGAAGCGGCCACAACCGTGAGTCGCTCCATTTCTGAGCCTCTGGGGAAACGATTCTGATGACGGAGGAAGTATCCTTTTGAGTTCGCAAAAACAACAGCTCAGCTTTACGCGACAAGATCTAAAAACCCATTCGCGGTCATTACTCAAGTCGCCAAGCAAGACGGTTTTAGAGCTATCTATACTAGATGCTCGACCTTGATTATTGTACGAATGGCTCTTCCATAAACCTCAGATGACTTTCGCTGACCACCTTCGCTAATCACTTCATAGGGCACAACCTTCAAAGCTGGGGTTCGGTTCCTATCTTTTGACTCCATCCGCAATGCGTTGATGGACGAGAAGGGAAAGTTGACGCCGGCGAGGGGCATCTTGGCTGGCATGATCGCAGGATGCGTTGAAAGCGTCGTTGCAGTGACTCCCACAGAGCGTGTCAAAACTGCGCTGTAAGTGATATCTGAGTTTCAACACCATAACGAAAATGCCGAAACGCGACTGCTAACCGCAAGTTTTTGAAGAATTGACGATGCTAAATCGTCCACAAGAAAGTACTCCGGCGGAACGCACGCTCTATTCTTTATGGTACGCCAGCATGGTGTCGGTGAAGTTTACCGCGGTTTGTTGTCAACGACATTGAAACAATCAGCAACTTCGGCAGTGCGAATGGGATCTTACAATATTTTGAGAGAGTTTACCAAACAGAGCAATTTTCCGAACAATGGTCTGGTGACTTTCGGTTCTGGTGCTGTTGCAGGGACAATCACGGTGTATGCGACCCAACCGTTTGACACGATCAAGACTATGTCGCAGTCTGCCAAGGGGGCTAGTACGACCGAGGCATTCCGGTTGGTGCTGGCGTAAAGAGGTGTTCGAGGTTTTTGGAGCGGAAGCACAATGAGACTTGGACGTCTGGTTTTGAGTGGAGGAATCGTGTTCACCGTGTATGAAAAGGTTGCTAGTCTTTTGCTGCAATAACCACTAAGCTAGCTCCGCCAGTACAGTCGTGAAAAGCACGAAATCGCCGAGTTCATGTTCTCTATTGTACTTTGTCATCAATGGATCATTATTCGTACGTAGGTCTGAGATGCATTTGCCACTGTCCAGCATTATATCACGTAAACCTGGTTTGAGCTATAGCGAGAAGTAAAGGATCCCTTCCAGGCATAGCAATTATCTAGAATAGAAATATAATTTTGACTTGAAAAGCGACGCGAATATCTGAGGAATCGAAGATTAAGCGAAGATCCTCTGGTGTTATTTTCATGTTGCTTCTAGACCTGACTGAACTAGACATTTTGGATGCTTAAGCATCTCCAGCGAAACTGTTAACTACCAGACCGACAACTTGCTAAGCCGCCGCTGCCGTCCTTTATTACTGCCTGCGCTGCCCTTCCTCCCCACGCTATCTTTCTTACCTCCGCTCAAATTACGTCGATCAGGACGTCCTTATCCATTACACTAAGTTATCCTTAACTCACCTTACTCACCCTGCTTGCGTATCTAATGCCACCTTAGGGCGGCAGGTCTCCTAGACGCACCTAAATGTCAGAGTAGCGCTCCTGAATCAGTGGACTGTCTTCGTCTGTCTCTTCTCAACCATCCTACCAAACGTTTCCGGTAGCGCGAAGGAATGAGGGGTCGCGGATAACCCCGGTCTCTCCCTCCCGCGGGAACGCAACAAACCCGCTGTGGAGATCCCCTCTCACTCACCAGCGCATCCCAGCAGTATCCCAGGTTCGTCAGTTTCGTTGGCAATGCTAGGTAATCCAAACGCGGGGTTGGTCTGGAGTCCCCAGATGCCAAGATCCAAGACATCTTGGTTAACACTGAAAGGGCAAGGCTATGTGGAGTTCAGATTGCTTTGCTTTGGCGCAAGTTGCACAGATATAAGAGTGAGACCCTTATCATGGAGGGGGAGTTGTGAGGTGTTGGGAAGACACAGCTCTTTAGTGTCACTGACAACATTTTCCCATCACTCCCAGATCTCTCATGGCCATGGCTTCCAATGGAGGGCACAACGACAGTGGCATCGGCAAAGATGTCGTCAGATGTGATGAGATTGAACGCTCGTCTGCTGACAAGTCGGAGCCAAATCGGCAGTTCTCTCCAGAAGAGATCCAGAGTCGATTCGACCTTCTTCGCGACTTGAGAAACGCCGAGATGGAGCAGTTGAACAAGAGCGTGGTGAAGAAAGTTGACTGGCGCATGATGCCGACCATCACATTGAGTAAGGCGTTTTGATCAGCCTCATATCTGAATCTGTTTACTAATGGAACCCCTCTAGTGTTTCTCATGAGGCAAGTATAATGATCCGATATCGACATTCGAGAGCGAGCAAATGTGCTTTGAAGACCGACTAACACAGAATCTAGTTACCTCGACAGGATCAACGTCTCTAATGCGAGATTGGCCGGAATGCAGGAAGATCTGCATATGTCAGGTACCATGTGGAATTTGGGGATTTCCACCTTCTACATCGGCTATCTCATTGGCCAACTGCCAGGCAACTTGTGGCTGGCCAAGTCCAATCCCAGATGGTTTCTCCCCTCAATCATGCTCTTGTGGGGATCAGCAACGATCTGCACACCAGCTCTGAAGAAGTCAGCCAGTCCCTGGAGATCAGCATCATTGCAGTTGTACATTTGCTGACTCTCTGAACAGCGGCGCAAGTTTCGCAGCCCTTCGCTTCCTCACAGGGTTGTGCGAGGCCCCTTTCTTCCCAGGAATTACACTTCGTAAGTGATCCCTGTCAGGGCCGAGGAATCTGAAGGAGGTTGACATCGGTAGTGACGTCGTCTTGGTACAACAAGCACGAGAGCCCCATGCGCATGGCCGTCTGGCATGCGGGAAACACCATCTCCAACATCATCTCAGGCTTTCTCGCGGCAGGAATTCTCACCACAATGGACGGAGTCAGAAATCTCCACTCGTGGCAGTGGTTCTTTCTCATCGAGGTAATCGCGACATTCGTCATCGGCTTGTCAGCTTTCTTTCTTCTGCCCGACTGGCCGCAAAACACCCGCTTCCTCGCGCCCGCTGAGCGAGAGATGGCACAATATAGGATTTTGTGCTCCAACGGCGGCCAAGAAGAGACCGTAGGTGGAACCTGGGATGGTCTGAAGGATGCGGTCAGAGATCCGTTTACTTGGATCTTCTGCCTCATGCACTTTGCTCTCGTCACAGCACAGTCTTTCAAGGACTTCTTCCCATCCGTAAGTCTTGCACACTCACTTTGATGAACAACGAACACTTACATGAAGGATGCAGATTGTAAAAACCTTCGACTTTGGCGAGTTGACAACATACCTCATCCAAGCACCCCCCTACGCGTTCTCCTTCATATTCGCCTGCGTTTGCGCCTGGTCCTCGGGTCGTAATCAAGAGTCTTTCTGGCACGTCGTCCTGTCAATCATCGGCAGCGCTGTCGGCATCTCTGTCCTCATATCGACAATGAACATTGGCGCCCGCTACTTTGGCCTGTTCTTACTCATCTCGGGTACCTACAACGGCCTCAACCTGCAACTTTCTTGGGAGACGTCCGTCGTACCTGCTCCGAGAAGCAAGAAGGCCGCGCTGATTGCCATTGCAAACTGCATCAGCCAGACGAGCCACTGGTTCAGCCCGTACTTTTGGCCGCGCTCGCAGGAGCCTTTTTACCGCCTCGGGGGTGGCTTAGTGCTGGTCGGCTGTCTCTTAGTCGTCACCTCGGCTGGGCTGGCAAAGCGGCGCGC